CAGGTTCAAAAGATCTCAGAGAACAGAGGTCACTGGAGACGTGCTACTGAAGCCCTATGTTCCACTAGGAACCATGGGACTAATAATAATAATAATAAATGGGTTGTTTTAAGCAGTTATTTGCTATATTTTATAATTTCTAATCAACTAATTTGAATCTTATACGGTAAATCATTCAGCGTGATATTTTATGGCCATGATACGCAGATAGTGAAGAAATCCTGTAGCTCAAAAAGGGGATTTCAATGGTTTTGTGTTTTCCAAGCTGCAGTAGCTCAGAATCATTAGGTACATAAGCGATTCAACAAATAGTTTTCAACATGACAATAAAGTGAATGACATAAACTGTTTAAACCAACTTACTATGATGCATTTTCTTGGATCTGTGCTGAGAACAACCAGAGGACGCCGAATCGGATTCTTCGGAGATAACTAAATCATAACCTTCACCTAACAATGGAGGGGAGTCGCGTTTTATTGGACTACTTCTTTTCTTCTTGTTATCGTGACTTTGTGAAGAATAGTGGTGAGAATGGTTTCTTTTGTTATTATTTTGCTCAGATAACTTGGATGAATGAGATTGTTTTGTGTTCAGTGAGCCTTTGGCTTTTGGAACACTATTGTGTTGACCAGACAGCACTTTACCGCTTCTGTAGGACTGCCATTCTCGAGCAACTGATTGGCTGAAATCCACATGAATACGTCTATCGTCAATTACAACTTTATCCATTTTGAAATATGCATCTTCACAGTCAGCTTCCTTTTCAAACTCAATAAATGCATATTGAAGAGAAGCATTGGTGCGCTTATCCCTTATCACTTCGCATGACTTAATTTCACCAAATCGACTGAAAATAATTTCCAAATCTTCACTTGTAGTGACAGGATTAAGTTTACACACGAATAAGACATTGTTTGGTGGCTTAACATCAGCATCTGGCAAGTCGCCTATCAATGTAAGCAGCTGAGTATGAGTTTTAACTTCTTGTTCGGCCTTTAATTCCTCCAGTCGTGAGGGAGAAAGCCCCTCCGTATCATCTAGCTCTTCATCTTCTTCTAATCGAGTATCAAACTGTATTACAAATGAAAGTATCAAACAAATGAAATGATTAGTTTACACAATGATAACAGAATACCTTCAAAGGAACATCTAGGGAAAAATATTAAAATAGGATGATTGATTCAGTATTTGGGCTCCCAAAGTGAAGTGTACAGAGCAGGTTTAGAACATGACGCTTAACCAACAACTGATAGAGTTCAGCATTGAAAAAAACATGTGAAACAAACACGTCGAGTGAAAACCAGAGAAATCTTCACATTAATCCACCAAGAAAGAACTTCTCGGTGTAAAAATGGTAAACATACACAGCTTATCTTGTTAATCATACTTTTCAGCTACAGAAAGGTTATGCTGCATGTAACTCATCCGGTTAATGACAAAAAAAAGCATAAACTAGATCCCACATAGCTGCCAGATGAATACTAACCCCATTAAACCAGAATACCTTATAATCACAGTCCCATTTAAAAAAAATAAATGGTGCTACTTCTAACTGATGTCGTACTACTTCGCAAGTTCGTCAGAAATACGATTGTCCCTTTCCACTAATAAAAAACACAATATCGACAAATTTCTCACTCGATAAATAAAGTGCAGATGCAAGTTTCCCTTCAGCTCTTGCATGCACTTTTAATAGAGTTAGATGGTGGACTTGAGAGTATGAAGACAACTTCAAGCAAAAATTTCTACGGTGAATAAATTTCATTGCTCTTATTAGGCGATTTGTGCACGCCTTGGAGTTCATAATTTCAAGATAACGAAAATTTCCATTGTGAAAATGATCACAAAACATGTATATTATATTATTATTATTATTAGTCCCTTGGGTTCCTAGTGGAACATAGGGCTTCAGTAGCACGCCTCCAGTGACCTCTGTTCTCTGAGATCTTTTGAACCTGGTTCCACGACAGCCCAGAAGCTCTCATTTCCTCCTCGCATGACCTCCTCCATGTCACTCTCGGACGTCCAACTCGTCGCTTCCCATGGGGATTCCACTCGAGGGCCTGACGCGTGATGTCCTCAGTCGGCCTTCTCAGTGCATGGCCAATCCATCTCCACTTCCTCCTGCATATTTGTTGCGTGATAGCTTCTTGGTTGGTTCGTTCCCAGAGTTCCTTGTTGCTTATTTTTTCTGGCCATCTGATCTTCAGCAGCGAGCGTAAGCAGTTGTTGATGAATGTCTGTAGTTTATTGGAAATCCCTTTCGTGACGCGCCAAGTCTCTGAGCCATACAAGAGCACTGACTTGACGTTGGTACAAAACATGTAGAGAAACAATACGATTTTCAATAAGACAGCCTCATGCTTTATCCTAAATATATACACCTTCATCTATCGCAAAGATTTGGTTGGATGCAGTGACTCACTTTGAACTACCATCAATCAGATGGGAGAAATGAAGCTTCGCATAGACTTCACTTGTCTGAATTGGAGCCACGAAAGTAGATGTACAGTAATAGGTTGACTAGTCTAATACCAATATAACTGCACAAGAGCCCTAGATTGGTAGATACATATGGAAGGGGCAAAACATATTGTTCGTTTGACTAAAAACAAACTAGTCGACTAGAAAATGATAAAGGTTAGGTGCGTAAAACGTTCTTTCAATGGTTCTCAATAGTTTGTGGGATATGATCTTGCTAGGTTAAGTTGTAAGTTTATGAATATTTATTACCTGAAGTTTTCCACCCAATTTGTTCATATGCTTTTCTTAAAAATAATTACGGGAGTAACTTATTTCAGTGGATGAATTCAAGATATATTCTAACTTTTTTTCTGAGAAATTCCACAAGATTTCTTTTATACTATATGAGTATGCAACTAAACAGGTTTGCAAGTCGATATGGAGATATGATTTTATGTACACACCCTACTCATCTTATTTATAGGATGTCAAGGAAATGCAGCATATTGTCACTTGCACATAATCATCATCATCATCACCAACAACGACATAGGACCAGGCATTACTGCGTGGTGGTCCAAGTTACCACACCTTATCAGCACATCAAGTAACAAAGCACTAAGATGAAAGATAAAGAAACCCCAAAAAGAATCCGTAAAAAGTCATCACAAGGCAATAAAGAATGATATAATAGTGAAATTCACTTGAATTATTAAGATGGGGGGTATTATGTTGGTACATCTGCACCACTGTAACCGATTCTGAACTATACCACCTAGAATCTTCAACCATCACTTTATGTTTCCACCCGGACCCCAGTCGGGTAATCTACATTTCGCTAGATCGCTCAGACCAACGGTCATAGAATTCATGAACTGATGCTATGCCTGATTTAGTCTAGCCACGTCTAAAATTTCCCCAGCTTAAACCCACTTCAGCCAACATTGTGAGATGAGGTAAACAGTGACTAGGCATGCGTATCATGTCTCAGCCACCTCATTCGATAAAGGTTTAAGTGAGGTAAGGTGAATAACCACACTTGGGTCCTGTATGCGTTTTTCAGAGGCACAATACATCCACAGCTTGAGGTTCCAGAGTTTTGGAAAGAAATGCCAGTTGTCTGGTTAAAAATTTTCAAGCTCTAACGTGGAATTGATAGTGTGGTATCAGTAGAGTGGGGACGGTTCTTTGCTGCATTGGATTGGAAGCGATGGTTGCAGGGCTTTAGTTTACGGGTAACAGGAACTAAAGACAAGGGAGTATAAAAGTTGAGGAAGGTAGATAAAAGTTATTTCGGGTATGCATCTAACTAGAAGCGTGCTGATGATAGGTACTTCCCTGCTACCAGCGCCATGGAAGTTGTTTCTGTGATATATGTGAAAGAGCAAATCCTGATGAATAGCTGCTACCGTGAGCTTGTAAATTGAAATGAACCGACGAGATATGCTAGTGAAAACACTTTTTCCTAGCACTTTAGAAAGGTCAGTTGGATAGTGGAAAGGCAAAAAGCAGCTACCACTGTAACGTAAACTGTTACAACAGGATCCGGATCCGAAGGGGAAGAAGTCATCATCAAAATCAACATAGGATCAGGCATTACTGCGTAATGGTCCGAGTTGCCACACCTCATATTAGTACATCAAGTAAAAAAGTAGTGAGGTAGAAGATGAAGAAAAGAGAATCCAGTCAAAAGAAATATAAAGTACTAAATGAGAGAAAGGAAGAATGAGAAAATGGTGAGATTCTGTAAAGCGTTACGATGAGGATAATGTGTGTATACATCTGCGCTACTAACATCGGTTATGAGCCATATCAACTTCAACTTTATTATAGATATCCTCATGGAGGTCTCCCTCTCGCTACCTGAGTAAACAGAGGTTGACCTAGTCGCAAGAGAATTTTGGTTACACCTAGAATATTCAGATGATATAGTCCTGTTAGGCGAAGACGCTGACAAGATGCAGTCTTCTGAACACTTTGAGTGGGAATTTGAGAATGTTTGGGATGCGTTTCTCACCACCCAAATTGTCGCTTCAACGGTGTCACGACTAACAATAGAGAGTGTGGTGGTTGAGTGTGTTGACCCCTTCACTAATCTGGGAAGTAGGATCAGCCCTGGTGGCTCAGTGGTCGACGAAATTTCTGCACGAATACAAAAGGCTCCGTTGGCTTTTGCCACCTATGGCGCCGCCGTGATTTCCAGTTGTCTACTAAGGGTCGCGCGTACTGCACAAGAGTCCGCTCTGATCTACTGTATAGCTGTGAAACATGGCCAAGGGGAAGAAGTAACGCTGGATGGCTGGCAGTTAGGTGTTCTTCGAGGATGATCAGAAGTACCACACTGATGCTGCCTTCCCCATGGGAAGGGCGATTACGAAAAGCCACCCCGAAAATAGTGCACTTTTCCCTGGCACTGCAGTCTCCCAGTACCAGTGGTATGGCTTTTTTTATCCAGCTTTAGAACAACCAAATCACAAACCAACAATCATCAAAACGTTGTGTGACACGTTTTAAACAGATGTCAGATGGGCTGTGTGGTCATACAGAGCTCTTACTCACCCTATAGAAACAACTTCCACGGTGGTAGCAGCCGCGAAGTGTAAACTGCTCAAACGCTTCCAGTGTTTTTGAGATTCAATCAAAAATAACGTATCCTCCTCAAAACGGTCTCTTCCTTTCCTAAACCTCATCGTAGCAATATTGAGCATCTGAAAAATTTCCCAACCTCTCACTCAGTGACCATTAGCAATGACCAAAGCTATCGAAACTGCATTTCTGACCTCTAACGACCCCACTGTTGACTTCATAATAGGGCATTTAACTTCTGAACCCTATGGCAAATCGCACAGCAACTACCCCTCGCCAGAACTATGGAATCTCGAGCCATGACCCACTGACTGAAAAAAACCAACACAACCACACAACTGCATCGGCTCAAGTTGTCATACTTCACGTAGTACACAAAAAACAGGTGGATAGAATGACAGTGATATCAAAGTAGACGAAGTTGTGTGACAATAAACAAATTGAAGATAAAGCTTACTGTGAATATTCAAGCTTTAGATGTCAAGGAGTAAATACATCAGCCATGTCACTAAGAATCCCCAACCAGATTCTTTCGGCTCAGGGACAGAAACCATCACCACACCACCCCACACGACTCAGACCAACAGTAAGAGACTGTCGCTTAGATTCACACCTTGGCCTGCCCACCTTGAACCATCTACTAACCTAACCCAACTACCCCTAGTACGGCATATCGAGGTAGGCGGTAGCTCGCTAGGCATGAGCAGTACATGCCCAAGCCATCTCAGTCGACTAAACTTCACAACCACGTCAATCAACTTGCCTTTCTTGCTTAGTACCCTTCGCCTGACTTCAACACTGCTCACACAGTGATTCCACCAAATGCGAGCAATGTTACCAAGACATTTATGGTCAAAACCCGCAGCTGCTTCATGTCTTCTATTTTTAACGACCATGTCTCACAGCCCTAAAACAGGACAGAACGGACTGGACGGCAGTATACCCGTTCTTTGATAGATAGTCGGACATCTCGCCGGTGCCACAGATGACGCAAACTGGCAAATGCAAAACCGAGCTTCTGT